GAGAGAGAGAGAGAGAGAGAGAGAGAGAGAGAGAGAGAGAGAGAGAGAGAGAGAGAGAGAGAGAGAGAGAGAGAGAGAGAGAGAAGGTCCTCAGTGGATTCAAACTGGATAGGCATGCTTTCTAGGGATTCTGATTTTCCCATGCCGTCAGTAGTACTGTCTTTGCCTGCGCCCTGTAATAACGATTAAGTCTTATGACAAAGACCTCTTCCAACTCGTCCATGAAAGTGAATGAACATGGATTTGAAATTTTTGAATCATTTGATGCAAAATCAAGTGAAAGCAGGGTTGTGGGGGAGAGGGGTATGGGGGTGTTGGTGGGGTCATTGAGGGTTCTGGATTCCCATGCTGCCTACTGTGGACCGGTAGGTGCCGACCAGCTGACCGGTCGGCTGGTCGGCAGTCGACCAATTAACGGGCGCCGACTGTCAGCCTTGCAACTCTGATTGAAGTAATTCAATACATCCATTCTCATATCACGTCTTTGAAGACGCAAGTCGTAAAGAGACACAAGTCTGCAAAGAGACACGAATCTGCGAAGAGACAGCGAGGTACTCATGTTTTCTCCAAGATCCTTAGGGTATATACTATTCCACTCACGCTCGGGCTTCCACCAATGGATTCAGCAGAGAACTATTTGACTAGACTCCATAGAAAATTCCGAGTCTGACAGAGAACTGGCAACATGCCCTTTGAAGCTCAGCGGATCGAAACTTTGTGGTGACAAAACACAACGGCTGCAGTTATTCAACAAGATTGCAACCGAGGAAGCTATCTCTTCAGCTCACGAAAATATGCCACTAGGAGCATATATGTCTTGAGATAGATGGTAAAGTGTCGGTCCTGCCGGCATGAGTATGACCCCCCCCCCCAAAAAAAAAAGAAGAGAAAGGAATGGAAAAACGAACAGCACTGTACATACCCGGTCACGTTGCTGACGTGGAGCATGTGCCAGATACTCGCACCCAGGGCCTGCAACCCCAAAGCAAGCAAGAAGAACAGCACACAGGATCGATAGGTTAAACCGCCAGTCGATGACAGCCCTTCTGCGGACCTCTGACGTCCGCCATCCCCATCATCCACAAAATGGTCGCTGTGTTCACCGGCACATCTTGCTTGCGCACAGGGTGCTTTAAGCGTCACATCAGGACAAAAACATGTTGCGCGTTTACACAGTCATCAAGAGCAAAAACAACAGTTATCAGGCATGTCCACTTCTCATAGAGCAAATGTCAAATTTGAGACACTGCAATTCATCACAATTCAAGAAGAAGAATGGAGATAAAGAGAGCACGACAATGACGACGACGAAGAAGAAGAAGACGGAGAGGAGGAGGAAGAGGAGGCCAAGCTAGGAAGAGGAGGCCAAGCTAGGAAGAGGAGGCCAAGCTAGGAAGAGGAGGCCAAGCTAGGAAGAGGAGGAAGAGGAGGAAGAGGAGGAAGAGGAGAGGAGGAAAAAGGAGAACAAGAAGAAGAAGAAGACAGGCTGGAACCAATGTCATTTCCATCCACACCATCATCTCCTTCACGTCATCACCTCTGCACCTATTTTAATGATGAATGAATGAACAAGAATCAATGACTGAGCAATCCCAATTACTGCCAGTGTCGGAAGAGCTCTCTATTAGCTCTCTCTCTCTCTCTCTCTCTCTCTCTCTCTCTCTCTCTATATATATATATATATATATATATATATATATCTCCCCGTGTGAGTGTGTCCACTTGGTATGGCCACTAGCTATAGTGGCTTATTGGCACCGGGCACGGATGATACGAGGACAACACAACTACTAGTACGCCTCTCCCCTCGTCGACCGCCATAGTCAACCTCTGTATGAAGTCCCATGCTCGACAGGTACCCCAGCAGGGGGCTTCTTGATGCAGGGCCAACCTGGAATATGGAAATGAAAGTCCACCATAGCTCAAGGTAAGTCTCCTTGTCAGTTCCCATCTCCTTCCTCCTCCAACCACTACTCACCATCATAGCCCGGCTCGAAGGTCTTCTCCCTCTATACCTCCATTGTCCAGGCCTTCTGCTACCTCTCACTACTACTACTCCATAGCCATGGAGATCTTCTTCCTCGCCCTCAGCTCCTCCTCCACCCTCCACGTGCTCCGCCTCGCTCTCCCTGTGGGCAGAGCAGCAGCATGACTACCGGGGGAATGAGCGGACTGCTGATTGCACTGAATTATATACTCTTGGAACTGCCAGGCCTCCAGTACCTCTTGGCCAGGCACCTCCTGCCTGTGCCGGCCTCCTTTGGGTGCATTAAGCCGAACGGAGGATGTTCCCCCGTTTTGGTGGCAACATCATTGCAGACTGATATCTCTACCTGCTGGGCCCGAACCTGCCTCTACAAGCTATATACATTTGCGCCCAGACACCACGACCCACCAGACAGCTACTGGACCTTTAGAAGCCTCTACCCAACTCACAGGGATATCCCTACTGGGTCCGTCACAGATTCTACTTATGACTCCGGCCGACCCCCTGACTTCAGTATGTGCGCTAACTTCAGTCCTGCCCCTGAGTGCAGGCCCATTCAGTAACCTACCCACGTCCAAGACGCAGAGCCACAGCATGGATGTCAGACTTAGCACACACAGACTTGGACTCACAACTCCAACAGACAAGCACACCGCATACATACATCATCAACGCAAGTCAGACACAAACTTTCTCAGAGAAATGCAGATTTTTCATAAAACACTGCAAACCAGAGGTCCGTAGACAGCAGAACAACATCCATGCTGGACAGGTGGCACCGTTGCCAGGGATCTCAGCATACTACCAAGGTCCCTAGAGAGCTGAGGTCGTGAACATTATCTCCGGCACGCACCACATCGCCGACGGTAAACACACACAAAAAAAAAATTACCCCTGACAGCTCCCCAGTCCCAGTGCAGCACACCCGTGTGCCTATGGCGGGTGCATACAAAAGACCCCCCCAAAAAAAACGCTAAAGAACTCTCGACTCTCGAGGCATTAACCTATGGGCTGGAAAGAGGCGACGTGCCTCTTAGCAAACCACTTGCAGTGCGCAGGAACATTGAGCGCCACACAGCACACCGTGTGGGTGCACCAGAAGTATGCTTTAAGGCTTGTACTAAATGATTATCTTCTTTTCGTTTCCAAGAAGTAGGGCCTCGCTTCACCAGTCCCCAATCTCAATTTCCCGAGGTCAGTACTCACTAAAAGTGACTTTTCTGACCAAAAGGGCCACCACTCACCACACTTCAGCAATCACCGCACAGGTGAGTGCTACGGTGGGAGGGCGAGAGGAGGCACACAACTGCGGTGAGTACTCACCACAGCCATGTTACCACGGATTAAAAAGTGACTGACACCTGCCATGCGAGCCATGGTGAATGGTGGAGCGACAACACTACTCACCAAAAGGCAACTGTGGTAGGCGGTGGAGAACTGCCCTTAAACAGCCACTACCCTGCATCATTTGCTTTTGGGAGACCAGAAAGTAGCTCAGTCTGCAGGGGTGCGAAAATTTGGGGCTAAACAATGCTCAGTCCGCAGGCGTGCGAAAAATTGGGACTACACAGTGCTCAGTCCGCAGGTGTGCGAAAAATTGGGACTACACAGTGCTCAGTCCGCAGGCGTGCGAAAAATTGGGACGACACAGTGCTCAGTCCGCATGCGTGCGAAAAAATTGGGACTACACAGTAGCTCCAAACAAGTGGTTAACATTGGGAGGATTCGGAACAACAGGATTTTGTTTGAGAGGGTGTAGGATTGGGACAGGGATCCATACAAACAAGATGACTTCCTAGAGACCGATACCCAATACACGTTGCTCAGAGCAAGTGCAAAGAAACACAAGTTATGGGTCCTATGGTTTCGCTTGACTCACAAGGATCTGTGGGGACGTCACATTCAACCATACTGAGTCCAGCTGCTCTATGACATCTTGGACATAAGGTGCCCACAGAAATGTCAGCCTGCACCACTTCAAATAAAAATTCAAAGGTCAGAGTTTCATACGTCAGCAGTGCTTCCCACTTCCATGGATCAACAATAGCCTTTTCTCTCTCTCTCTCTCTCTCTCTCTCTCTCTCTCTCTCTCTCTCTCTCTCTCTCTCTCTCTCTCT